AAATAATAAAAACTCTTAGAATTTTGCCATTAGGTGACTTAAGTCATCAAACAACCTAGCACCCAACTTCTGTGTCCAGCATAGCTTATTGATGGCCTTTATCACTATCAAGATGACCCACATTCCTGTCCACTCGACTGCATGGCTGCATAGCAGGTATAATATGGAAACACTGGGGCAGAGAATTTTTCAAGCATTATTAGGTACATATGGGATACTTCTGCTTGCTCTAACTAGAAGGCTGTCTTGGCTCAGCGCCTGTGGCTCAAGTGGCTAAGGCACCAGCCACATACACCTAAGGTGGCGGGTTCAAATCCAGCCAAGGCCTGCCAAACAACAATGATGGCTGCAACCAAAAAATAGCCAGGCGTTGTGGGGGGCACCTGTGGTCCCAGCTACTTGGGAGGTGGAGGCAGGAGACTTGCTTGAGCCCAGGAGTTGGAGGTTGTTGTGAGCTGTGATGCCATGGCACTCTACCCGGGGGACAGCTTGAGGCTCTGTCTCAAAAAAAAAAAGAAGGCTCTCTTACCCTTTGGGGACATACTTTAAAGCCTTAGGACACTCTTCTCTTATGGATCTGTTTTCTGGAGAGAAGACCTACAAGAGATAAGTTCCTTGAGCCCCTTGTAAAGGGTCAGTTTCATAGAAAGAGGTCTAGGCTCTAACTCTAGCACTGTCCCTGCACCCCAAGGCTCTACCCCTAAGGTTCCAGAGCTACCTCTAGGCCCTGAGGCTTCATCCCGAAGGCTCCCACTAGCCTCCTGGCAGGAACTGCCCCATGGTTCAACACTCCCCCAGGCTCTGCCAGCCTCAAGCTGCCATTGCACTTGAAATCAATTGGACCCAGAGCATGAACATCCCCAACCACTGCCTAGATAACCTCACCTGCTGCCACTGTCACCACCATGGGAGACCCAGGCAGAGTAGAGTAGAATAATCCCTTGCAACACCAACCTCTATGGAGAGGATCTTGCTTCGCCTCCAACCAAGCTTCCAGTGGTGGCTAGGGAAAAACCCACTACTCTACACAAAGATCATCTAGCACCAGCTTAAGCGTGACAATCACAAAGGAATGGGACAAAGGACAACAGCTGCATTACAGGCTCTCAGTACACCCAGCCCTCTACTGCTAGGTCAGGCTTCCACGGTAGGACACAAAAGTGCCGTCTAGTGATTTCTTCTTACCAAGTAGGAGACTTCCCAGCAAAGCAAAACAGGTGCACTGCAAATCAGCCCTGAGCTGAGAAGAGAATTCGGGTGAGAAGAAACCAGCAGAACTCTGGTAATGAGGAAAAAAACAAGCTCTGCGCCTACAGCTCAGCAGCTAGAGCACCAGCCACATACACCAGGGCTGGTGGGTTCAAACCCAGCACAGGCTTGCCAAACAATAATGATAACAACAAAAATGGCTGGGCATTGTGGCAGGCCCTTGTAGTCCCAGCTACTTGGGAGGCTGAGGCAAGAGAATTGCTTAAGCCCACGAGTTTGAGGTTGCTGTGAGCTGTGACACCACAGCACTTTACTGAGGGTGACATACACTCTGTCTCAAAAAAAAACAAACAGACCAATTCAACACTCCCAAAGGATCACAGTGGATCTACAGCAGTGGACTCCAACCAAAAGGAAATTGTCAAAACATCAGGAATGGAATTCAGAATATGGATGGCAAATAAGATTAATAGAATAATCAGTAGGATTGAAGAGAAAGAAGCAACAAAAGGAAGTTAAAAAATATTTCAGGACATCAATTAAATAAAGGAAAATATCATAAGAGAAGGGAATACTTGTACATTGCTGGTGGGATAGCAAACTAATATAGCCTTTTTGGAAAGAAATAGGGAGAATTCTCAAGGAACTAAAAGCTGACCTACCATTTGATCCTGCAATTGTATTACTAGTTATCTACCCAGATGAACAAAAATCATTTTACAACAAAGACATTTGCACCAGAATGTTTATTGCAGCCCAGTTAACAATTGTCAAGTCATGGAAGTAGCCCGAACACTCAACAACCCATGAATTGATTAACAAATTGTGGTATATGTATGCCATGGATTACTAGGTAGCCATAAAAAAAGATGGAGACTTTACATCTTTTATGTTAACTAGATGGAATTGGACCATATTCTTCTTAGTACTAAGTATCTCAAGAATAGGAAAAAAGTATCCAATGTACTCAATACTGTTATGAAACCAATATTTAATCACATATTCATATGAATGATAAAACACAAATATAGTTCAGAGGGGAGGGAAGGGGAGGTGGGAGGGCAAGTGGAGGGAGCAGAGAGGGCATTTGGTGGGATCTCCCCTAATGTGCACAACGCAATGTATAATGTACTCAACTAAGAGTTGAGGGCGACTCTCAACTAAGAGTACATTATACATGTCTTACCACCAAAAATAAGTAGGTGAGGTTATGGTTATGTTAATCAGTTTGATTTAAGCATTCCACATTGTATATCAGATCACATTGTACCCATAAATGTATACAGTTATGATTTTATAAAAATTAAATTTAAAAAATAATCACATCTGGCTCAGTACCTGTAGTTCAGCAGCTAGGGTGCCAGCCACATACACCGGAGCTGGCAGGTTCAAATCCAGCCTGGTCCTGCCAAACAACAATGACAACTGCAACCAAAAAAATAGCTGGGTGTTGTGGCAGGCGCCTGTAGTCCCAGCTACTTGGGAGGCTGAGGCAAGAGAATCACTTCAGCCCAAGAGTTTGAGGTTG